CTAACCTGCCTGCGCTGAGAGAAAATGGGAAAGGCTTAGGGCTGCATAAGTGTGTAGGGTGTAGGATTATGGCGCACAACCCAGGTGTTTTCAGTCTGACTGGACGGCAGCATTTTTGATCTGGTTTGCACCTTCTGTGGGTGCAGCCAGGACTGAGAGGGAAGCTTGCTGGCTATGTCTTCGAATCTGGTCAATACATGTATGTATATGTATATATATATATCAGTATGTATATTCAGAAACATAGATATACGTTCTCATATACATCACTCGCCTGCTATACAGTCCACTCACACATCAGAGATAGCAAATCTGAGAATGGAAGCATGGCCCCTAGGGCCAGGATCCCGACATGCTTCGGTCGCACAGTACCCCCCTTGTAGGTCCCATGGACCCTCAGGGCAAGATCAGGAACCACACTATAGGGGCCCCACTTCCGACCTCAGAGTAAAGGGAGGGTTGTGAGGCCTTACTCACCCTCCAATCGCTTTGCTCATCGGCCTTTGCGAGAGCGTTTAAATCACTTTTGCCTCCCAGGCCTTTGCTGTGAAAGCCCTTTGTGCTTCGTGCTGGGCAGGCAAGAACGCGTTCAAACTGACAGGCACCGCAGCCTGTTCCTAGCCGTGCCTACAAACCAGCAGGCAATCTTACGATTGTCTTTCTGATGCTGCTTGCCAAGCATAAATCAATATACTTGATCTTAAGCACAAGAAATATCTGTTGCTACTACAACTACCGTGTTGTTTCAAACACAAAGCATGATCAGCACATGCTAGGGTTTGGATCTCAGAGCTCATAGTCGCGGACCTGCTCAATTCACCATTTCGGGTAGGGGGTTTAGACCACACTTCTGAACTCTAGATTTCTGCTAATAACAGCGCCCACAAGAGGGTTTGAGGTTCCAGCCCCCACCCGCAAACCCCAAAGAAAAACTTGCAAGAGGGAGGGGTTCTCTTAACTGCCCACCCTGCCTCGAGGGTCTCCGTCTGCAAGTGGGACACCACGTCCGCCTCCTCGTCGGAGGCCAGGAATTTGCGCTGCCGGATGCTGTGCAGACTTGCCGGTGCCTTTCAGAGGTACTGCTTCAGCGCAAAGAAGCCCAAATGCTACAAGCACAAAGAATAAAAGCTGAACGCAGCAGGCAAATAACAGCAAAAAAATCCAGGTGGGGCGTAGATTTCAGGTCTTGGACGGAAGGCAATGTGCGGGCGTCTCAAACTCAGGGCCAGTGTGTCTCCGGCACATACTGGAATTGAGTGCCTTGATTCTGACCAACAAGTTTCCTGAAATGACACAGAAATCTTTTAAAAGGGACTTTGAATACAGGATCGACGAACTCTTGTTGAGAGTCTGTATTTGGGGGAACAATGAAACACGTTCCCTGCACATGAAGGCTTGTTGAGTTTATCCTTCTCAACATGAACCTTCCCCGCATGCAGAGCCCAAACCTTCAACATTTCCGCCCTGCCCCTGCTGGACCTGCGATGAAATTACACGGGCAAAGCTTACACCGGTAACATGTTTACTTCACTAGAACTAACTGAACCAACTTTACTTCTAAGCACACAGGAACAATCACAAGCCTGACCGATAAAAGAATAAGTGCCATCAGCACAAGTGCGAATGTAGTCTAAAACAACAGCGGCAGCAGCAACAACCACGACGACGACGACAAACAGGTGCCATAACACAATAGCAGCCATCACTTTGTGGAATGTGCACAACCTTGCACTACCTCGTAGATCCTGCATCCGGCAACTGTGGCATTTTGGGGATCCTAAGTAAGTGGTGCAAGATTACCTTCATCCATCCTTACGCTCCTCTAAACTAGCGTAGAGCTTGTAAAGGGACTGCACTGAAACTTCTCTCATTCAAGGAGGGCCTACGGTTACATTTTTTGGGGGCGAAAGTAAGCCCTAATCTGTCAATCGGATGAACAGCTGTTGCTTCAAGGCCGCTGCGGGTGCTTCCGGATCCCGCAACCATGCAGCGATCTTGTGCTGGATGGCCTCTCTTTCCAGGATTCAGGGCTTGGTGGGCTGGACTCGGTTCTCAATTAGGAGACAACAAATAAAGATGATAATCACCTTGAAAGACATGTAAACAAAAAAACTGGTACTGTCTGGAGACTCGGCTTAGCCGGCTTTTGGAAACTCGGGTGCGCCACTGCGTCACAGAATGTGAGATATTTAGGCATTCGCATTTAGGCCTCGGGCGGGCCCCATGGGCCAGGTCGAAGCATGGTTATGGCGCCCCTAAAGGGCTGCACAATTAAGCCCGATGTCCGTTTCAGCTTGGCAGGCGTTAACGCGCAATTCTGGGAAAATTTGCGCATTGCATGATATTGCAGTACTTGAGAAATGCTGAAAGTGCGTCAAAATGCTTTGGGATAAAAATGCGCTTCCCCGTAAGGCCTCTTACAGGCGCTGTCTCCCAAAACGTGTAGGTAAATCATTCAACTTGCCCTTTCAAATGGTTTATAGTTGAAGAGTACGTTGCTTAGGACTGAGGAGGGGATCCTTGCGGTTAGTGCTGCTGCCTCCACTGAATCCTGAAGTACTGTCGCTGGCTTGAGATCGAGTATCCTTCGGGCATTTGCGATTGCAGAACTTCAGGATATATCATGGAGTTGTTGCCTTGTTAACATGGGATGTGATATAGAAAGTCATGATCGCAAGATAGATAGACTGCTGTAGACAAACCTGGAAACGCACAACGCACCCTACAAAGACTCATACCGTGGTAAAGGAATGCATAAATGAATTTCCACGTCAGGTTCGGAGAGGGGAAATCCATACATGGATTCCGATGTCACCAAATTGCGCGCCCAAAGCCTTGTATACTTGAAAATTGTCAGACATGTGGCACCTTTGAAAGAAGCCCTCTTTCGGGCTGATGTTCATGTCTGCCAAACAACTCTTTCATACTCCATCTGAAATGATGCATAGGAAACCTTTGAATACCAGAAAACCATCCCGAAATTCCATCCTAAGCATCAAGAGCCTTATGTCGCTTTTATCAGCCTTGCCTTCTTGGCCACAACGAGATGCCTCGTGCTTTGAGCATGGGGCTTGGGGCTGACAGTCTGGAGCCAGGCAACTTGATGGACGACTTTGGGTTAAGGCTAAGAGCTGTGGACTTACTGATCAAAGTCCTTTGGAGCTTCAGATGCTTAGATTGACACAGAAGGGCTCGTGCTGAGATCTCAGCTTCTATGTGGAGTTTGATGCCTGGGGGACTGGTCTGCAATGAAAGTCTGCCCTTGATGCAGGGGGTCTGGAAGTGTGGCCATTGTTGGGTGCAGACCCGTAATTAATGAAGAGCTCCACTATTGAATTTATCTTCGACAAGTTTGGGATGCGCAGCATGCTAGCACTCCACCTCTACACAAAACTCCCGATGAGACCTAAACCCTGAAGCGCAAACAGCACAAAACCCTAAACCCTGAACGCCAAGCCCCAGGCCCTCAAACCTATAGGGGACAAAGCCTCACACAAGAGCTCCCCCACAAGGATACTCAACGCTCTTGTACTTTGATGTTCCTGGCTAGTTAGTGACCACCCAAAACTGAGTGATAGCTAACAATAACCCACTGCCACAGACTGTGAACATCCACGCAAGCTGTGCCACCTGAAATAGCGCATAGCACAAGATGTGCCTAGACCTCTGAAGACAGCTCTGCTAAGAATTCCATCTCGCTTTGGGCCCTCAGGTTCCCATCTTGCGTCTTGCCACCCAGGATTAACAGCACCCTCCCCAAAATTCTGATTGCACAAACCCCCTGGCCTCATGCCTCCTCTATCCTCATGGGTCCCTGAATACCGGGTCTTCTGAATGCCTAAAACAGGCACTGGCTCATGGAGGGGCGCACAGCATGCCTTGTCTGGGAGTCGGTCAGGGGCTGAAGAGGTATGGTTTGTATGATCAGGCGAGGAACGGGCCTTGTCTGCACAGGTTTTCAGAGACATCATTAAATTGAACCTGCTGCTGCTGGAATCTTCTTAGAGGCGCATTCTGCAGAGGCACAGTGCAGAATTGCATGTATAGGAGTTGGGGACTTAAGCGTGCGCACGTAGAACCTTGCAAGTTGAGGCTCCAAGATGCTCGATCTGAGAAAGATTATAACCTCTCGGAACCCGCACTGCAGTTTGCGAACCTGTAAGTGACAAGGGTTGCTTGGTTTAGACTCTGGGGATACGCCGGGAGTACCTGAGGATTGTGAGGAGACAGAATGGAATTGAACAAAGTCAAAAAAAAGTCCGCAATCCAACTCAGACTAAACTGTCTCTCGACAAACAGTTTTGATGGGATCGCACATCCAGCCGTCGCCTGAACGAAGTTCCTTTGAGCCCTGCATTTTGCGTCAAGGAACGACCCCGGCAAATTCAAATGTCTTGGAGCTCACGTTCAAGAAGTCCACCCCCCACCCTCCCCCTGCAGCGCTGACCCAATGCAACGAAAAGGCACCAACCTGCCTACTTAAGAAAAATACAAGCCGTATGCTCCACCGCCCTCATCATAAGATATCGTAAGACTTCAAAGTACAGGTTTGAACAATGATTGCGCAAATGTGGTGAATTTTGTTGACTAAGGAACAGTCTTATCAACCTTCTAAAGCCTTATGAATAAGTCTCATTTCATGAGATTATGATGGGATCCTAAGATGGAGGTCGTTGAGAACCGCACTTTTCATCCGTGTTACAAAACTCTTGTCAATACATCTTTATCACATCCTGCTGCTGACTGGTTCTTGTAGCTTCCAGCCAGCTCCGGCATCTGCACATCCATGCCCTTCATGTAACAATGTTCTGCAAAGCGGGTGCATCGGCGTCATCTTATAGCATCCTTCTTACTGCTGTAGATATCTACGTCCTGGTTGCATGGAACTACATCACAATGCAAAGCACCTGCAACCCCTCAGAGCCTGCCTACCTTCTCTTCAGCCCGCATAGACCTGCTTCTACTGCCAAGGGGCATCCACTCACAATGGGAGGCGCCCTTCACGAAGATAGTCTCAATGTCTGGATTCGGGTGCTCCAAAACCGACTCCCAATGCCAGGGGTCCTAACAGAGCACTTACATGGAGCTTTACGTCTCTGATCAAAACATTTGCTCGGGGAGCAAGCCATGAGGCTTAGTATGGGTGGAGAGAACATGAACTCAAGATGTATGGGTGCTTGACGAGTTAGAGGCTTTGGAAATGGAGGTTGAGGGATCAGGGTCTAGCATTGCATGGGTTTGGCATTCATTGTAAAGCAGGCAAGGTTCAGGGTGCTTGAGCTTGGCTGTTCCAACTCCACTTCATGCCTTCCCACCAAGCGAGCACCCGCCTGTCATTCCACTCAACATTGAGTCGTAGTTGGAAGATTCACTCATTACCTCTATGGGTTCGATACTCCTCCACGTAATGGTATGCAACCGTTCGCAACTCTGAAAATGCAGCAAACTGGTTTGTCCAACATGTTCATGAAGTGCCATGACACCTGAAGCTGCCAATCTAAGCACCTGAATATCACCGATACCATCCTGGATGATCCTAGGAATGAATATGTCTCATCAATGTGTCTTCGCTGTTCGCAAAGTTGTCTTGGAAAGCAGGGGAATCCATGGAGAAAGATCTCGTACAACCCCCTAACTGAGCCCTACAAACAGTCCTCGAGCTTATCATATGCCATCCGCAAGAACACCTTTGAACAAAACTGAAGAAGACCATTCGATAACAAAAGTGATTCCGATATTGTCTTCTGTCTAACAAGCCCAAGATGAGTCGAGGATCCACTTCGCCGTTCGGGAAGATTGTCCTCGTGGTGTTGGGATACCTGCACCAGGTTGAACGCTGAGGGTGGGGTTTTAAGGCTTAGGGCAGTAAACAACCTCGTGGAGTCTCTCACTTTCTTTGCTTGTGCCTTGCATCTCCGTTGGTCTGCGGCGTAGCGCAAGTTGAGGAAAAATCTCAAGCTCTCTGTTGCTTGAGGCGTCAAAACTGCTTGTGCCAAAGAGTCCCGGCCCAGGTGGCTGATCAGTCTGTTGGGAAATGTGTTGTGCTAATGATCGTCGTCATCGTCATCGTTTCCATCCATGGCACACAACAAAATTCATTCCGAGACATCTGCCATGCGCCGCGAAATTCACGCAGATCTGCATCATGCCCTATGCGTAGGCATTCTTGCTGCAGGGATGCCCTTTTGCATATGATCCTTCGACAGAAAGAACCAGAAGCACTTATGACTAAGACAGCTTTCCAAACCAGAGTATCTAGACAAGGTTTCTCCAAGATATCAAGATCCTGGCAACTTTGAATGTTCACGGAAGTTGGTGGCTTCTTGGAGTCCACCAGGAGCTTGTGGCGGTGGTAGTAACAGCAGCAGCAGCAGCAGCAGTGGCAGTGGCAGTGGCAGCAGCAGTGGCAGCGGCGGCAGCAGCGGCGGCAGCAGCAGCAGCAGCGAGGAGCAGGAGAAGGAAAGGAAAGAGGGCAAACAGCAGCAATGACAATGGCTGAATGGCTCTATAATCACAAGTGTAATCAGACAGCGTAATCAGTTACGTGTTTATACCCACCACGGTAGAAGAAACACAGCCTCAAGGACATGATTGGGAATTATGTAGATTGTAAGGACAATGCCCGCAACTCCGCTCATGAACCCTACGTACATGCAAGTACGAGCTACATGACTCATGCTGAGGGGGCTTTCGAAGGAGACCTACTGCTCTCCACCCTCTCCTACAAAGCTACACTACCCTGGCAGAGCAGTACCATTACTAATCATTGAGCTGAAATGCAGGATGCCACGGTAGAACTCATTGGTCTTGCGGATATTCTCTGCAACCTCGTCTGGGGAGATGCCAAAGAGGAGCTCGCAAGGCTTGAGGTTCCAAGCCTTCACGTATCGCGGAAAGGCTAGGGAGTTTGAGGGCTTCGTGGTGCAAGTTTCACGCCGTAGTACAGTACATGGGGTGTTGGATCTGGGCCGGTGAACTTCACATTGCACACCGCTGTCTGCTCCCTACACACCTTAGGCTCCTGCTTCTCAGCCTAATAGGTTTCCTAATCCTACCCTTAGCGCAGTATCCTGTTCGAGTCTGAGGTTTTAAGTTTTTTCTCCCAAATTGCCGCAAACCACCTTGAGGGCAGCCGCATTGAAGCACGCTTGCAAAGGGGAACCCCGTGAAGCTAACTTCATCTAAGCCCTACTCCGGGGATTCAGACTCCGCGGTCTACAGCCCAACTTAGAGCTTGAGGACACGGTGCGGCAAAGCAGGTTGAGGTTTGGCTCCGGGGATTGAAGTCATTCTTTACAACAAATTCAAATGCATCTTATCATACCATCCGGGGGCTTCGGTTACACAAAACGATGCTATCGATCATGTGTATTCAAAAACACAAAGTCGCTTTAAATTTCCAGGGCTATATGGTCCCACTAAGCAACAGTTTTGACAAACTCCACTTTGGACACCATTCACCTGCACAACCCTACGCTTTACAGAAGAATCTTTGCAGCAACGGCCCTCGTGAAGCCAAAGTCTGTTGCTAGAATTTGTTTAAGTGCTCAGCCAATCCCCGATACCCTGCCTTTCTCAAGTTGGCACTCAAATTTGTATTGCCCCTTAACGGAATAAGCAACCGTCTCCGGAAAGCCCCACGCAACACAGGCTGCTTATGATCGCTACAGGACACATGGAATCTGAGTAAGCCTTGCAAAGTTCCTTGTTTCAATTCCCTGCGTGGTGACATGGCACAACAGCTGCCCAGACACCACGGTGTTGTAGCCCTGAGTCCAAGGGCAATTGCTGCCCTTCCTTGGGAACGGATTTAAGCTAAAGTGCGTGTTACTGCCGCTTCTTTCAGATTCTGGGTGTCAAACAGATGAGACACGAGAGGCCTCCATAAAGTCCACTAAAGACATGAGCAACTTATCTCTTGGTTAGGGAAGCTGGATGGCGCTTTAGAAGCCAAACACTTTTGTTGGGCCCTGGACCATGTGACGGCTACGGAGGTCGGCTTTGATGTTTTCACGGCTGTGACAGCACCTGGCGCTATGTCTTCACTCGCGGCAAGAACACAGCACGCAAGAATGGGAGATGTGGCAAAATCCTCGTGGGCAGCGCCTGCTGCTTAGTGTCTAAGAGCTTGGATAACCTCCTGTACAGGATTCTCCGGCATAACTGTTGTCCTCCTCCGACCAGCCGCGGGGCAGCCAACTCTTTTGATTCCATCTACGACAGAACGCATCTCTCCCTGCGACAGACTTAGATTCTGTTTTCCAATAATTCTTCAAGCAAGGCAACTTTTCTGCAGATGGCGCTCGCATATCTCTCGAACCAAACTTTATGAACTCTAAAACCTCAACTGCACCGATGGGTCGTGCAGGTCTGGTACCAGCCGAACTCCGTGCACGTCTGGTAGTACCAGAGTCGGCTAAACTGGTCGCCGGACTTCTCGTCAGTGCCATTGACCTTGCAAGCATTTGAGATTCAAGCATGGATGCCTACGCGACTGCGATCGCACACACCCTCCGTCAAAAAACACAGGCAAGACCGCAGAAATTGGGCAATGCAGCGAACGCACCGCCCCTCCATCACTTGAGGATGGTTCCAACCCACAATTTTCAATACAATCCAGGTGAGAACAGGGTTGTACGTGCAAGCAGTATCTAAGTGTTTGTTGAAGAGCTTTGGATTCAGAATCTGCTCTGCATAGGAAGGCAGAGTGTAGGTGGTGTCTTGAAACGAAGTGCGCTTCTTTGCTGAGAATCTCCTAGTATGGAACCCACAAGTTCATCATCCCTGCACAACAGCAAATACACTTACTGGTGGGGTGGCGCACGAATCTACACATCATGCTCTTTTCATCTGAGGGACTCTCAATGGAAGGGTACTTTCACGGAATCTGAGGTTTGAAAGAGCTAAGTCCACTTTTTAACTGAGCTGCAACCTCAAAGCTCTACACGGCTGATGGAAGAAATCTCGCACCAATTAATGCTCTCTCAGCTGAAAGCCAGAAACCGTTGTGCTACACCTCCTGAACATGCAGCCCCCTGCACCCTCAAGGCCTTTTTGGTGATGTTCATGGCCTTGATCGTCAGGTTTTCCTCATCTGTGAAGCTTTGAAACAAACACTAGAATGAACCGTTTCTCATGCAAGAAAAAATGCATTTGCTCTGGCAGGACAACGCCTTGCCTTAGACTTTGTGGATCCCAACACCCGCCCGAACCGTCCGCGTACCTGGGATCCAAGTCTCGAAGGACACAGAGGTGCAGGGCTCAGGAGGGTGGCCACCGAGTGCATCCTCTTTGTCCTGACAATGGGAGCCAACTGCTGTTGAAGTTCCGGAGCCTGAATTCAGATCATAATCTGGATACTGTTCGATGCTGAGAAAAGGACTCTTACCAAATATGTGTGCAAAGATATACCACTTATGCAGGATTCTATACTACCAGGCTTCAGGTCTCTCAAACTGAGAGCGCCCTTGGAGTTTTCTAAGGATGCACGGGAGTATGGGTAGCCGCGTCTAATTCTATGAGACTGCTTTGAGAAACTCACAGGATCATACGAGGATGTCGCAAAAGATATTTCGACATGCGAGCTCCAGCTCGGACGCTGCCCTGCTACGCTTGCGTTGCATACCTTTGACCATGCAAAACAAAGGCTGACCTAACGTCTCTTTGATATCATCAGCAAATCCTTTGCAGAAGCCCGGAGCATCAACCCAGGAATCATTGCTGTTCTGGCAAGGATGGCTCCTGGCTTGCCTCACGTTCCTAGGCTAGACTTAGAGATTAGGTAGAGGGTAGGTAGAAAACCCGAGGTGCAAACGAGGGGCACGAGCTCCGACCCGTGGCCATCACATAAAAACCAATTGATGCATTCCTGACTACATTTCCATAAAAACTGTCTAAATCTTGATGGCATCCAACCTGCAGTATGGTCTCAACATCTTAGTTTGCAAGCTGAACCAGTAACCCAAGACCTCAATCAAGAGCCAAGGTAGATCCACCCTAGATCCTGAGACTCGCAAAAACTGAGTCGCAGAGTGTCATCCAAAGCTAAGCCATCAAACCAAGGCCCCTACATGAAATCTGGGATCCTGTTACCTTAGGAAAGTGCGTGCCCTGAACCTCACGCACTCAACCCAACACCCTAAGCCGCTTGCCCAACAGAAAGCCTCAACTAGAGAAGGACTATCTAGAGGTCCTGCATACATGTTTTCGACCAAAATCAATATTTTGAGAAAAATCCAAATAGCGTAAATATCCCTGCGCCGTTGTTGGTACGCCAGGTCGGGCTGGAGCTGCCCAAACCCTAGACTGCAACAACCAGTCCTATGGAGAAACTCAGAACTCTAAACTCCAAAATGTTTTCCAAGCACATCAAAACCCAAACCCTCACCCCCTACACCCTACACGTCCCCTTTGAATCAGGTACCCCGTGCCGCCCCCCAAGCCTGGTGCTCCTTCATGAGCACAATAGCATCCAACGCACTTGTGCTCTCGGAGGAGCTCGCCATCTCGGACAGGTTGCCGCAGAAGAGCCTGGCGAGGCCCCCCTCTATGAGGTAGTGGGGACACAGCAATGACAATACAATGATTATGCTTGAATCGTTGAGAGATGGTATAGGGGCATATTAAGGCTCTGTGGGGTGCAGCAGACTTGGGGGCCCGGGGCCCGCTGTTGATGGGATCCTTGTAGTACGTCTGAAAAGAGAGTGCAAAAACCCTATGTCAGAAAATGGCCATGTTGGGAAAAGGGTGCACATGCAGGATATCCGGCTAAGAAACACAAATGGCCAGAGAATCGCCAGCCTAGACACCCAAGCCCAAGCACTAAGAAAAAACAGACTAAAAACAACCCAACCTAAAAATGTAAACCCCAAGCCGTGCGTCTTAAGCCATAGCCTCATGTTGCAGCTGGTGTGATTGCACTTCGCGCTGTTGTACTGAGGCACGACCGCGACGACACCATCCGTGCCGGCCCACTGAGCCTGTGTTACTTAGAAATACAGACAGTTGGGTGGCTCAAGATTTAGGGATGGGGCTTTGAGTCCAGCGGGGATTGGGACAAAAGAGTGTCCATGAAGTTTCACACGGCGTCGCATGATATGCAGAGATTTTGCGGGCAAACAACGCAAGACCCCGGAATTGAAGCGCGGCGCTGAAGTTTTCGGTTCAGGTTATGGTTTGGAAAACTTTTTGGTCTGAGTTCTTGTTTCTGACAGATGCTTCGAGCGTAGGGTCAAGGATTGGGCCCTCTAGAGGATGAACGAGCTTAGCAGCTGGGGTCCAGGGGTTGGAGTGCAGGGCTTTAGGTGTCTGAGGCTTAAGTCAATAGTTTCGTTTGCGCTTGCATTGCAGGGTTTGAGCTCCAGTAAGAAACAGCTTGTCGGGAATTTCCCTCATGGTCATAGCCATGGGCCTTGCTGTCTCGGCTCTTCATACGGATGCATTCTTCATTTTGCTTGGTGACCTTCAGTAGAGAGCATTGTAAGCGGAACGGCTTAGCACGAGCTTGGCCATCTGTGATGGGGGCTCAAGACTGAAAACTTTGGTATTCCAGGAAGAGAGGCGCAAAAGCATCAAAATGTTTGTCCTCAAGACTCTCTTTCTTCAAGCAAAAATTTCTTGAGGCTCCAGCTTTGTTACAAGCACCGCAAGGCAAATAAGCAACAGTTGCTACGATAGGCTTATAAAATCTGAGGTCCTGTCTACGTGGTATTCTAGTACGTTAGCAAATCCTCATGGCTATGCGGTCTTCCGCGACCCCACTTTGGAACTTACGGCGACCGTCTGTGACTGAGACGCGTTGGGTCTCGTGGCATCTGGCCGACGGATCTGGCCCCTTGGAAATACGATCTTAGCCCTCTCCTGCAAGTCCCGCTATCCCAATGAAGATCTCTACCCGATGAAGCCTAAACATGAGATCTCTCTGCAATCCATACTTGATTCCATCAGACTTCAAAATCACCCCTGACATGTCTACCTCATCCCCGAAAATGCGTTTCGCAAACTTCCAGATCCTTCTAAAATTTGAATCTGGTAAAACTCTTGTTTGAGGGCCACAGAAAAAGAAGTCTCCCACACATCCAGCGAGGAGCCCTGTTGTCAACGTTATCCAGCGCATTGGAACCACAGAGCTTGAATTTCCTCTCCAGGGAGCGCCGTCCTCTCCAGCAGGATTAGAAGAGTAGAGTTTGAGCTTTAGGGTCTAAGATGTTGGGTTTGCGGTCCGTGGTTTCCAGGTTGGGATAAGAGAACAAGATAGAAGATCAGGAAATTTTGAGTAATGCGTGAGAGACATGAACTGTCCTAACTATACAACTTGAGGGGGGGCGCCAGTTCGGACCCCGGTTTGCAGTCTAAGGTTTCTTGAAGTCACAAAGCTCAGCCAGCAATTAAAGGGCGCAGTTTCTTCAACTCAGTCTGGGGTGTCAACAACAACAGACAATGGGGGTGGTGGGGGTGGTGGGGGTGGTGGGTGGTTCGGGTGGTGGGGTGGGGGGGGTGGTGGGGGGGGGGGTGGTGGGGGTGNNTTGGGGTGGTGGTTGGGGTGGGTGGGGGTGTTAGGAGTGGTTCTGATGGTGGGAGTGGTGGGGTGGTGGGGGGCCAGCACCACGCATCAAGCAGGCTGAGAACTCAGCAGTTTACACAAAGCTCAGAGCGGCCCAAGATTTTGCCCACCACGAAACGGCGGTTATATTGCTAACGCAAAAATAATGGACTTGCGCTTGTTCTGGGACGTCGAACCTGACAAGAAATAAGGCCCACGCAATTTTTCATTTTTGCCGTTTATGTGCAACATTCTGGGAACCGCAATTGGGGTTAAAAACAAAACTCAAAAAGTGGGTCGTGGGCAAGCTGTCCTGGGTACTGTCTCAGTTGCAGGCATGACGGTTGAAGCTTTTTCCCTGAGACTGATCTTCAATAGGAGTCCTTGAACCCCTAACCTCCCTTCTGCCGATCTTGCAGCCATGCAAACCCACACACCATACCTGCGCTCATAGCAAGGACCCAGATGGGAAAGGTAGGTCACTTTTCGAAATCCATGTCCCCAGCTTGCTCACAAGCCTGGCAGCTTCGCCTACACAGCTACCCGGCCAGCACATGTCCTCGCTCTGACTCGAGAAGGTCCCCAATCTCTGCGTGGCCCTCAAGCGAGCGTTGGGGTTTCAGCCAATTCTGCGATCTGTGAAGGATATTGAGAAAGTGCATCGGCGACATGAGAATGAAAAATACCACCATGTCAGAACGCGGGGGCATGCCTTCAATATGCATCAGGTCTTACACCCATGATTGGGAGAGCCCCTCAAAATTCAAACGGCAAGCTTGTCTCATGCCGGGAAAAAGATTGCAGCATGGCAATCTTGCCGGTCCCAGAACTCCAGGCACAAGCACACCTCTAGCATTTTTGGGAGCTGCAAGGCGAATGCGATCGCGTACACTTGAACAACTTGCAGCAAGTCTAAGTAGGACCACAGGCACCCTCACTAGAATCTGTAACTTGTGACAGACAAGAGGGTACTTCGGAGACTCAGAAGCCTACTTCAGCGAATAGCTAGTGTCTCTACACAGGAACCTGAACCGTAAACCCTGCATGTTTCTGCAAAAGCCTGGGCCACGGTGGCCAAGCACTCGGGGCTGCCGCCGATGCTCGGTGCCGTCAGGGCAGAGGACACCACAGCATTGTAGCCCGTGAAGTCAAGCTGAGGTGGTGCGTTGAAGTCCGGGTTGCGGGTTGCGCTTTGAGGCTTAGGGTTGAGAGACTGGGATTCAGCGTAATATCTACAGTTTAGGGTTCGAGGTTTAGGTTCAGGGTTTGAGGTTTGAGACCAATTTTGTACGATTCAGCACGGGGCGCGGTGGGATTCAAAGGAATGTAGACTGCTGTCATGCACGGGCCAGGGTCAACACCAATGATGACATTCCGAAGGTTTAGGGCTTAGACCTGAGCGAGGTACGGATTTAGGATCTTGGATATGGGTGATGGTAACAAAAAATACCCACGATGCTACCAGAATCGCTCGTCATGAGAACAATGTCACGAAGAAGAACGCTCCAAATGACAACAATCAGAACAATGGCAACATTTGTGCCGAGACTGATGCTGTGGCAAACGTTTCAATCAAATCATACCGAGGTGTGGCCGCGGTGGTCATCAACAAGCGCCGTTAGAGCACAAGATGGAACCTCTCCGCCCCAAATCCCAAAGATGTTTAGGCCTAGAACCCAGCAATTCTCAATTTACAACCCTTCACACTCTAGTGCCTGAAAACTACAATGGCAAGTTTGCGTTTGAACTTGTCGAATTGTCGGCTGGCTCCGCCCTGTTTGCACAGGCATGCAGCTTGCTTCCTGCGTATGGGATTTCCTGAAGCGCTCTAGCAAAACTGAACTCGATGACATCTCAAGAATATCTGACGGGCTTCTAACGTCCAAGCTCTCCATACTTCAGGATGATAACAGACCCCAAACCTGCACATTGAACTGCCAAACTGCCAACTCCCTAAGCGCCTAGATGCTAGACCGCAACCAGACTGAAAGCCCAACACCCGGCCGCCGCCTGCGCCTGCAACGGAGCAGAAGAAGCCACGGATGCCGCGAACCTTCGGGTTTTAAGTCTCAAGGCCTAAGGATCCTCCCTGGGCCCGGCCAAGTCTCTTGCATTTCCAAGAATCTCAAAGCTTTATCATGATGCTTATGTTACGCAATTTAGGGTTCTTCTTGGTTTTGGGGTCGTTTGGGGTGCTGGGGCTTGCTTGTTCAGCAAGACTTGAGAATGCAGGGTTGGTTGGATCAGGACTTGTGTGCTAGCAAGTCTTTGAACTCTGCCTCGGGGGTTGTTTCCAACAAGCAGTTCCCAACCGGGCAACAATAACTTCACTTCCCGCAAGGTGAAGAGTAGCTGCAGGCAGGGTTTACAGAGCTTTCCCATCGCTTTAAGTTATCCCCTGTCCCCCGCTTCCCTGCATGAATCTGGGTTAGGTTCCCCATGCGCGCCTCAAATGAAAAGAACCTTACAAGAAAGACCTGGCTCTGATGCATCAACCATCCTGGATTCCAACCCTAATCCCTCCCTCAACCCCAGCCCGATGACCCACCCTTCCTAAACTCTCAGTCTTGGGGCTTTTCTGGATACAGCTGGCGCGCCCAGGCAGACAAGGACCCAGGGTAGGATCCGCCGAAGACCACCTCAGCAAGATTGGACGTGGGAGGGATCGGGTCCGTCATGGTAAGGATTTGGTCTTGAACTGGAAACATGACAGCATGACTTGGTAAAACTCCTTCCCGGCATTCGGCATGCATGGGATGGTACCAGGCCATTTTCTGATTGCCCGTATCTTTGCAGCTTACTTTCGTTTAAAAAAAGGACGTGTAGGCAGCTTGTCGCTTGATGAGGTTGGCCTTTTTGGAGTCCAAACACAATCCACAAAACCCTGGGGCTGACCCCTGTAATTTCAACCTCTTAAAGGCCACCATATCTAGCACGAAATTATCAGAAATTGTTGCTCTTTCGCTCCTGGAGGCGACCTCTAACATCCTGAAGAAACATGACAAATCCTAGCGATGCCCTCTTCAAACGAACACCCCTCTCAAACAAACACCCCTCTACCACCAGACCCTAACCTTTTATCCCGAGACCTGATGTAACCCCTGAAGGCAGGCAGCCTTACACAAATTTGGGCCCTCTAAAGTGGGCCAAGGCACCCAGGGCACGCCCTTAGCCTCGAAGGAAGGAGTGGCTACCTTGGAGGAACATCACCGTACCGGTGGTGGTAATGGGTTGAATGGGTTGAGGGTTTGGGGTTTTCAAGTTCGGGTTTGAGGTTTTGGTTTCAGGTTTAGGGTCTACTGCCAGGAGTGTAGCCACATCCCATTTCTTTAAAGGCCGTGCGAGCCGCAATGAAGTCGTGGATGGCTGCCAGGTCCGCCAGGGCCTTCAAAGTAATGAAGGCTTACTACTTGATGCATTTTGCGCTCCGTGAGCGGGTACCAGGGGTAGTATTGGAATCCACAACGACGGGACCGTAGACCGTTTCCTTAAACCTTGAACCCCAACTCAGAGCCTTGAAACATACACCATGAAAACCAAAGCCCAATCCCAGCATTACGCTCAACTCCACAGCAGCTCAACCATCCGCAGCCTGCCGAGAGGAGTGGTACTTGAGATTCTCTGCTGAGAAGTCTGGCACCCCATCAAAGGCTGCACCTCCGTAATAACGATGCTCCACCTGGGTTGAGGGATGGGCCTTGGGGACAGGATTTCAGGTTTTAGGGTTTAGGGTTTGGTTTTGGGGCGTGAGGCTTGGGGGGGGCTTTCTGGCTCAGAGTCGTCAGCTCAACCTTTGGACTGAGAGTCAAATCGGGAGCAGGGATCGCTAGGAGTTGATGGGTTCAGAGCTTCGGCATGACAAATGCCCTCATGACCCTTTGTCATGATTCCCTCGACACAGCTACTTTCTAGGCGGCAATCTGTAGGCCGAGTGCAGCTCAGCGGTGTAGGGCTTCAGCAAAGTTTCATGCAATCTAGGGCATCAGCCTCGATGAAACCCACTTGGGTCTTCTGACAATCGGGATAACATAAAGTAAGACCCTATTACGAGGGCGTAGCATAGCCATACATGGGCTCTGGGTAAATGGGGCGATAGTCCAGGAAAAATGGAAACCGTAACTTGAACAAGTCACTGGTCTAAACCTCAAAGCACCAGGTTAAGCTAAGCGTATGGCCTGATGAGTTTCTAGCATCTCTGGCAGGTTCAGGAGCCCCAAAGTGACTCTCCAGGTAGAACGCCAAAAGTGTAAGAAAACGAGAAAAATTGTTGCAAACATCTGAGCGACTGCCATGCCCATAGCGTGGAACTCCTTGGCAAGCCTGAGCGAGGGAACTTGAAGGGGTGTAAGAGTCCTTGATGGCCCTGTTCGCCTTCAGAAAGGTCCTACTATGTTGGAGGCCTGTAGACTGAGGCGGTAAACAGGGCCACACTGCAAAAACGAACCCAAGCAAAGGGTAAGGATTAAAAGAAAGCCGCACTGTGCAGTCGGGAGGCTCCATCATGTTGTTGCACATGAGGGTGTAAGGCTTGCGTGTTCCTCCCCAAGGATAGTCCTCGCCATCAATGCAAACAAAGACCGGCCCGCCTGCTTTGAAGTACCTGCAGTGGTTGCTTGGAGGGTTTAGGGTTTGAAGGCTTTTTTCAGGAGCCCAAAGTGGACCTGTAGGCGTCTACAGAGGACCGAAATTGATTTCAACAGAGTCTTCACTGGCACTATGCAACTTTAGGCAAGCAGACCATGAATTAATAACATAGGCAACTATTCCGCTTCCAGGATTCTGGAGCATTCTGCCTGACACAAAGGAAATGGGCATGTCCAAAGTCTAGAAATCCCCATTCGATCCGTTGACATGTTTGAGATTGTGTAGGGACTGTGAGGGGACCCGGTTAAGGATTCTGGAAAATCTTATGATGTTTGAAAAGGCAGACGAACATGTACGGTCAAAGCGTTTTCGTCCCTCATGAAGTAGACATACAGTAGACATATAGAAAAAAATCCCGAACAGTACAGCTGTTCTTTCCATTGCTAATGACTCCTCTGTCTGCTTGCAGACCACTGCGTCCCTAAGGTGGACAGCCTTATGCTCTCTAATGCAGTCTCAGGCGCGTCCTGTTGGTTGTGTAACGCTGACACCAGGTTTTCGTGTTCGCAGGATCAAAATGGTCGAGCTTCTGCTCACAATAGGTCTTTAGTCCGTCCGAAACATCCAAAACCTTGGGGCTCGCGCAGTTATTGGGCTTAAGGGTTGCGTTCAGGGTTGCGAATTGAGGGTCACCAGCTCAGGGAGTACAAGACATGAGTAACCCTGAAAGAATTGCTTGGGTGAAGCGAATGAGGACTAGTCCTCATAACACTGCATGGCTGAACCCAAACTTTTGAACTCTACACGCGAGAGATGGATGTGCTCGATAAGAAGGGGAATCTGACGAGAACCCCTTCTAATGGATGAATCCGTTCAAGCCTAAACCCCACAAGTTGAGGCTTGAGTTCATCAGGTTCTGAGGGGGCAGTGGTTCCCTTCAACCTAACTCTGGCGCAAATCCAAGTTCCAAACACAATTTGCTGTTACTAGACATGGGGCAGTGAACAACCTTGGGAGGGTTGAGATACAGAAGCACTTGACAGCAACTCCCACAGAAAAGCATAATCCCATGGAGCAGCCGTAGCATACCTGTATCAGCCCCAAATTATCTCAAGAAAGCCTCTGTATATAACTTCAGAGTAAACAAAGCTCAAACTCTTCACCAGGGGCCGGCGGATTCACTTCGTTCACAACGCGCTGGAGCTTGTCTCGCTTGAGGCTGAGGCCTTGAATCCTTGCGAATGTATAGAACTCTTGGAGGTTCGCAGAGGTAGGGATACCTTTTGAAGGAGGTATGGGGATGGTATAAATCCGCGTGCAAACATTGCAGGAACTCATGTTTTACTCTCCCGAAAACTCTTGCCGACATGGCTAGCTTCCGAGCATCCCGACAACAGTTCCGTTTGTCACTGAATCATGGTCAGTCTCCAGTCTTCCTACCATCTCGAGGGTTGGTCTTCTTGCTCACATTGAAACGTGTTGAGTTGCTGCTAGCAATGCGCCTGTACCATTGACTCATGTCTGTCTGACTACCCAGTGAGCAACAAAATGAGTATCGTAATCAAAGTAGGACCAGCCATGTCCAGCACCCTCATGTCACGAGTTTTGGATAGAGCAATCACAAGGCATACCGTCGCGAAAGAAACAGTCTGAAGCAGTCAATAGAGAAACCCTAGACTTGGCAAAAATCCAGAAGGTCATCTGCACATGTTCCACATTCTGTGTCAGCACGACCACAAAAACTCCAAGCGTCTGAGCGCTGACCTGGGGCAAAGCCCTGAGGCCCAGCAGCACCGCAAATGCAATGCGCATGGAGCGAACCATGAATAGGAAGCGGTACGGGGCCCAGCGATCCAGGGCGCGGGCTGCGGACAGAAATGCTTAGAAGTGGTCGTGATGGTGGCGGTGGCAGTGGAGCAGAGGTAATGGCAGAGCCAGTGCTGGTGGTAGCAGCGGGTCGTATTGCAACAGCAGCAGCAGAAGTCGCGGTGGCGGCAGCTGGCAGCTGCAGCAGCATCACTAGTAATAATAGTAGGTGTTACCATAAAATAATGGCAATCAAAATAATGATAAGACTAATCGCCTTTGCAGTCGCTGTAAAAAGCAGCAGACGTGGTAAGTAAACACCTGCAGAACTAAATTAGACGTCTACAAAGTACTCCAGCACATTATGCTCCAGTTGTATAAAACCTGGCAGCCGATGTCTTCAGAGGCATATAGGCAGTCACTTGCATCTTCATAACTGCTCATATCTGCAGAAAGGGCTACCTCGAAGCAGAGCTGCTGATGTGAAAGAGTATTGCTGCAACCTCAACAGAGAGGTAGAGGGCTGAGAACACATGGACGATCTTAGTATCACTCAATGAACTTTGCCTTAAAGAATTTGAAGACGCTGTCCCACAACCCAGGAAAATTTCCAAAGTCAATCACAGAAGTGCCTCTTAACACCAAGAAAACATGTTGGGGACTATTTAAAGAATTTGGCCGGTCAATCTCTGAATGCTCGCAGGGCCCAACTTTTTTGCTCCTTGCCGCCTGGCCTGGAGTTCTGGAAACATTTGCCCAAGCCATGTGGTCAAGGATTTAGCGTTGAGGGTGCGAATGAGCTCCGACGTATCATGCAACAAGGCTGGAACCAGGCTCCGTAATCCGCTTGCAGAGGACGACCTTTCGCTGGTCCCAAGCAGGGCAGCTCCTTGTGATGTGGAATTTCCACACCGCACAATTCTTAAGCCGTTCCAGCAACCAGCGCAGGAGTCAGTGAGACTGGACAGCTTGAAAAGGGGCCATAAACCTATTGACCTGGCACATGACAAGCTTTGTGTGACTCCCTTTTTCGTCGACCAGGCTAAAGACGATGCAACTGGTTAGGCAAGAAGTCTGGAAAGCCTGAACAAAATGTCTTCAGCATTTGAATGTTGCCGAAAACTTGATGGGGGATTGCTTGAAGAAAGATGAGAAGCTGTTTGTACATGGTGCCCTGCGGAGAAACGCACCTTTGCAAATGTCTGCTGAGCACCCACCAGCGAAGCCCAAATGAACCAATGTTACACATCACGACATGCAAGCTGCCCAAACAAGAAGTGCCCAGGAATCGCTGAGTCTGCAAAACTTAAGAAAGCACCGTCATCATGCCAACCTGGACCTAGCATGCTGACACCTGATATACTTGACAGGGTCTAATCTTGCAGCTGCAGCTTCGCCACAGCAAACACGCTTGAAATCTTGAAAGCCTGCACACGGTATCTCAAACGTTCGACTCTTAAGAGCAGCTTGCTGGGAAATGGCCAGAAGGAAGCTAAGGTCGCTTTGCGGGCAAAACCTGCGGAGGAGGGTCGCTCTGCGACTGGCTGATGGGTGATGAGCACTGCCCGCATGAACGGTTCATGGCACACGGCGCATCGTCTAAGCTGTGTACAAGAGTCCCTAAGTCTGCAATGCTTGGAACAAGGACTGAAGTAGTGCCAAGCCAGCAGACCCGCCAACCTGGCATGTGACATTCTTTACGTGGCTGCGTCATGCATCAAGCTGGCGCGAGGACATGCAGCGTTCATCGCACGAGATCTGTAAAGCATGTGTCCGGTATCTGGGGCACTCAACGCTTGCAATCAACTTGCTGAGGGATGGCTGGAAGAAAGCTAAAGCCTGCCGTTCTGCAAATGTTTGCTTAGCGCCCACCAGCAAAGCCCAAATGAACCAATGCTACACATCACGACATGTAAGCTGCCCAAACAAGAAGTGCCCAGGAATCGCTGAGTCTGCAAAACTTAAGAGAGCACCGTCATCATGCCAACCTGGACCTAGCATGCTGACACCTGATATACTTGACAGGGTCTAATCTTGCAGCTGCAGCTTCGCCACAGCAAACACGCTTGAAATCTTGAAAGCCTGCACACGGTATCTCAAACGTTCGACTCTTAAGAGCAGCTTGCTGGGAAATGGCCAGAAGGAAGCTAAGGTCGCTTTGCGGGCAAAACCTGCGGAGGAGGGTCGCTCTGCGACTGGCTGATGGGTGATGAGCACTGCCCGCATGAACGGTTCATGGCACACGGCGCATCGTCTAAGCTGTGTACAAGAGTCCCTAAGTCTGCAATGCTTGGAACAAGGACTGAAGTAGTGCCAAGCCAGCAGACCCGCCAACCTGGCATGTGACATTCTTTGCGTTGCTGCGTCATGCATCAAACTGGCGCGAGGACATGCAGCGTTCATCGCACGAGATCTGTAAAGCATGTATCCGGTATCTGAGGCATTCGAGTATTGCAAGCAACTTGCTGAGGGATGGCTGGAAGAAAGCTAAAGCCACTTTCGATGTGAAACCTGCGCGGAAAAATTGTTCTGCAAACGTCTGATGGGTACCCTCGAGCACTGCCCGCACGCACGGCTTATTATTGCACGGCACCTCATCTATGTGCGCGAGAGTCGCTAGGTCTGTCTGCATTGCTTTACAAGAGACTTTCATGGCACCAAACTAGCAGACCCATCAACCCGCACATGACACACTTTGCATGGCTTTGTCATTCATCAGACGCATTTGACAACATGCTACGAGCAATCCACAAGATATGAAAAGCCTGCACCCAATATCTCAAGCATTTGACTGTAGGAAGCCAAGGCCGCTTTCCTTGTGAAATCTGTGGGGAAAGGTCGCTGGGCGACTGGCTGATGGGTGATCAGCACTGCCCGCATGAACGGTTATTTATGGCACACGGCACATCGTCTAAGCTGTTGCAGCAAGCTGTGTGCAGCAGTCGCTAGGTCTGCAAGGCTTCAAAAAAGGCTTTCATGGCATCGAAGTAGCAGACCAGCAACCTGGCACATGACATGATTTCAGTGGCTCCGTCATTCATCGTACGGGCTTGAGAACGTGCAACTTGCGATGAACGAGATATGAAAAGCCTGTACCCATTGTTTCGGGCATTCGACTGTTGCAAGCAATTTGTTGGTAGATGGCCGGAACAAGGCTCAGGCTTCTTGACCCTTCAATGACAAGCACACATGCTGCAGGAGCCCCAGCAAGCAGCTCGCAGGGGTGGCTAAGTCTGCAAGGCTTGATGGCACGATGGTTGCGACCCAGAAGCCTAGCACCTGACATCGCTTGCATAGCTCTCTTCTAAAGCTGCAGCTTTGCGACTTCCAACGTCAAACTCGGTTGAGAGCCCTTCCCCTGGAGATGAGCGAGCCAACCAAGTGCCGGGCAGGACCCTCCGTTGGTAACTCCAACCTTGCTAAGTGAGCTCAGATGTATTTCGCATGTGGCAAGGCCGCCAGCGAGGAGCTGAGGCTTCTTTCAAAGTGGAATACGCCAGAAACGTGTGTCCTGCAACTGGATGACAAACAACAAGCTCGGTCCACATGAACGGCTGCTGGCAGAAGGTGCATCATTTAAGCCATTCCAGACAGATCGCTGAGACGGCACAGCTCAATCTCGCTTTTGTTCAGATGCGGCTTTCCCAAACGCAGAGCCGGAATTTAGGGTGCACTTTTTTCTGCTTCTTGCAGAACTGCACCATCTGCGAAGGCAGGCAACATGTATGTATGGAAATCTCCCACCGCTGCCAGCATCTACGTGCTTTGATTTTCTCAGAATCGACACGAACTCTAACGGGCTCAGGCATGTAAGCATCTAGAGACGAACTCAAAATACTGAAGTAACCATCTCAAAGCATGATACCTGCGCTTCAAGACGTTCACTGTTGCAAGAAACGTGAATCATGCGGTTGGGAGACTACTGCCCGTGGCTTAATAAGTGACCACCTGAGTGAAATTTGGCACTGGAGCCTGCAGCAAGTAACGCTCGACTGTGCCGAGGAGCGGTCGCCAGCGCTATCAACACAGGCAGCAGCCTGCAAGCGGCGCCTCGCTCAAGCCGGTTGCAGTTAGCTGCAAGCAAGAGTCGCGCAGCAAATCTAAAAGCCTGGCACATGACATGCCTTGCACTGCAATGTCATTCAGGTCCAGCTTTGCGACTTCCAACCTGAAACCGGCTTGAGAAAATGCTGCACGCAACGCACGAACCTAAGCTGAACCCAGTGTCTCAGGCAGTTGAGCATTGCGAGCAAGAAAGCTACTTACTGCTTGGCAAAAGATGTCAGCGTCAGACAGCTGGGGACACATGTTGCATGGCCCTGGACGGCTGTGATGACATACGGCAGGCCTTACGAGCAGAGCCTCAACGCTCTGCACCGTATAAGTCTTGAGTTTAAAACGCATGTCGCATGGCTGCACTTGGCTGTC